TTGTTTAACAATTTGATTAATTGTGATTAATTTTTTTGTTGCATGACAGCCCTAATTAATATCACGTGGTCCAGAAATATCAAAGCAGCTGGGTATCTGATTCAATTAACTCATCCAGCTATGAAAGGTAACTTCTGCTGGTTGACTCAAGCTTTCATTTTTATAAATCCAAATTCTCCCTTCTAAGGCCAGCCAAAATACCAGACTGTGCAGTTGGATACCTTTTCTCCCTCTATTGCCCCCACCTACAGCACTGACTGGAGCCCTAAGAAGGTTGGATTATACCCTACAGAACCTAATGCATGGTTTCTCAAGGGTGGCAGGATTTGCCCTATTAACATGAAAGTATGAACTTAGCCAATTCTAGGTATGTTATCCCTAGTAAATCATTGTGAAGCCCACCTTCCTCTCTGTGAGCTTGTTTCTCAAAGACAGAAATGGGTTTGATTCTGCCTCGCTGTTTCATGGTGCTTCTTGTTGTGGTGAACTTGTTTTCTTTCCAAAGTAAGCAGTAATGTAACAAATATTTAGATAGTGAGAGAACACAACTTGGATGGTCTGTCTGGATAATCTGATATCATTGAATGGGTTCTTATTGACAAACTCAAAATATTCAACTCCATGCAGGATGAGAAATACATTCACATTGATGAATCGGAAATGATAGAAGTAGAGAAATGTATCAAGGAAATGATGGAATGGATGAGTAATGTTATGAATGCCCAGGCTAAAATGAGCCCTGATCAGGATCCAGTTGTACGTGCAAGTGAAATCAAAGCAAAGCTAAAGGTTAGTGCTGAAACTAATTCTAATCACTGACTAGTGATATAGCTAGGCAATTATTTAGAAATCCATGTATGTTCTAACTGGTTGGCAGCTCTAAAGGATAATTAATAATCTGAGTAGCAAGGGAGGGATGAAGCTACAATCTACTGTGTAAAAATTCTGTGGTGAATGTTTTTACTATATCTGGGTTAGGCAGATAAACTTACACTACAAACATCTTTCAGTAGAGTTAAAAATTCAGTGTCTGCTTTTCCAATAGTATGTAAATACAAATATAACAAGGTGTGTAAGGAAATATTAAAGCAATGCAACATTTCTGAGAGATTAAATTTGTGCCCAAGTGTTGTATAAAGAACCTTAATATAACCTGTTTAAGAAGTAAACTAGATACGTTAGGGGTAGCATATATCCAGCCTCTTTGTGCTCAGGAAGCAAAGGTACTGGGAATCAAACAGTGTCTGAACAGCGGTGCTAGCTCATCAGGTAGCATGAATTGTATTCTGAGTGCCTCTCTTTATCTTAGGAATTACACAATGTGTGTGAGCCTATAGTGATGCAACCAAAACCAAATGTTGACTCTCCTAAAGAGGAAAATCCATTGAATGGACCCAGTCTTCATTCAAATGAAGGTATTGAAGAAGATAAAAATAATGCTGAAATCCCTCAACAAAATGGTGATTGTCATCCGAACGATAAAAACACCACGAGCATGGACTTGGACTAGACCTCTGCATTGTATTGAGCAATTTGATCTCATGAAAGAAAATATTGTTGCTTTAGTATGTGATTGTGCAGGGGTAACATATAGTTCTGGGAACTATTTATATATTTTTTTCATAAGGTTGTCTGGAATGTGTTGTATGATGGTGGGGCGGGGGAGTAAAAAGCTGATCATGACTACCGTAAAAGGGAAAATTGACTTGGTAACTTTCAGATTCCTGTGGAATTGTGAATTCATACTAAGCTTTTGTGCAGTATTTAACCGTTAGCTTCAGTAAGGATGAAATCAGTTTTGCTATGATACTTACTGCTCCTTCACCAGGATTGTAACTGAAATAGTCATAGGCACTTATAGATGCCAAGGTAGTTTTTCTTTCATTTGACCCCTGATTTGGCATATCTGTATAAAGCCAGTGGCTGTTCAATTTACAATGAACAAAATAAACCTCCTGTCCTAAGCTTCACTCTTTATCACTGTCCTGTACCCTAGCTGACTAGTAAGATGGTGAAAGGTGTTAAGTAGCATGTTAAGTAGTAGATTTCATCTTGTTGAACGGTACATTTTCATGTGGAGAAAGCAAAATGAAGGAGATGCTGATCCTGTTCGTCTTGTTGTGAAACCTTTTGAGCTTTAATAATAAAGTTCATCTAACTGGTATTTTCTAAAATGCTGGGTTGATTATGTTCAGTACTGTTTTCAGTGTGACTACTGTCTTTTGTCACAAATGGTAAAGAAAATAAAGCCAAATAGCTGTGTTGTGTGAGCAAAAGCTTACAGAACTTCCCCCTCCCCCCCCCCCCCCCCCCCCCGCCCTCCCATTGAGTGTGAAAAAATTGGAGTTGTGATACTCCGCCTACCCAAGCAGAAACAGCTTGTTACTCTGAATAACTGCACAAATCAGCATGCACCTGGGAGCAGCATGACTGCCTGGAAACTTAAAATAGCAAAGGCTGGGCATAAAACTTTCAAAAGCGGGTCTAAAGAGACGAAGATTTGCAGTTGAGATACTAAAAATCAGTCAGAAGTCTTTCTTGGCCTTTATCAGAAAGGAGTTGATTTTAAACAAACATGGTAAATGAAATGTTCTTCTTTGAGTGATTGCTCATGTGCATTCCACAGTAGGTGTGTATGCTCACTACGTGCACTGGTGCCAGAAGTTTTTCCCTTAGCAGTACCTGTAGGGGAGTGCCCCTAGCGACACCACCATGGCGTGGTACAAGAGGCGCTGCGCCCTCCTCCACCCCCAGTTCCGAAGCATCGTCACGGGCGGCAAGAAAGCACTGCTCCAGCTCTTTGCTGTAGCCTTCCCTATTTGGACTGTTGTTTAGTGCTGTAGATAGTTAGTTAGTACCTGTAGTTTTAAAAGTTAAAAAAAAAAAAAAAAAAAAAAAAAAAAAAGCCTCTAATAACCGTGCCTGGATCCGTGCCCCAGGCTTTAAGTCGTGCAGCACTTGTAAACAGCCTATGCCCATAAGTGACCCATACACTAGTTGCTTATGCTGTTTTGGAGAAACCCAGGCAGGGCAGGGCTCTGTCCCTGAGTGTCTGTCTGTGAACTCCTACCCACCTCCAACAGGTATAGCTTGGGAATCCCCTCCTGTGGAATGCACATGAGCAATCACTCGAAGAAAAAAAAGACAGTTACCTTTTCCGTAACTGGTATTCGTTGAGATGTGTTGCTCATGTCCATTCCACATCCTGCCCTCCTTCCCCACTGTTGGAGTTTTCCAGTAAGAAGGAACTGGGGGTCGGGGGAGCGCACAGCACCCCTCATACTGTGCTATGCTGGTGCTACTCCAGGGGTTGCTGGGGCGCTCCTCTACAGGTACTGCTAAGGGAAAAACTTCCAGTGCACGGGGCGAGCGCGCACACCTACTGTGGAATGGACATGAGCAACACATCTCAAAGAATACCAGTTACGGAAAAGGTAACTCTTTTCTCCCATGCTAAGCAAGCAGCTTTGGTGGAGGGCCAGCTTGAAAAGCCAGTGAAAGGTTAAGATTCTTCCCCTCAGGAATTTCTGGTCAAGTTTCTTGCAAAGAAACAATTGATGTGGAGGACACAATGTGGTGGTGAAGCCTTCCTGTTAAATGGACAGCCCAATAAGATCTACAAGACAGTAGCATGCAGTTGGGAGAGGCTTGCTTGCTGCTACAAGGAACAACTTAAGTACTACAAACAAAAGGGTAAGCTTGGCACTACTCTGAACAGAGTTGATTTACTTGTGCAGGCCATACCTGATTAGTCAGCACTAAGGAAGCCAATTACACCCTTTTGCTGGTCCTGTTTGTGTTTCTCCTCCAACCCCATTCCTGCCTCCTCCACTAGCTCTGATGGGGGCATACTCCTGCCTGCAGCTTTTACCCAGCTGCTCAGCTCCCTCATGCCTTGGCCCATCCTGACCTACCATAAGTAGCTGTAGTATCAGAGCACTGTTTGACAGGGCAGGCTCTTCTGATCACTGCTTACTTTCCCAGTACTGATCTGCTCCATTTCAGGTGCATATGCTACTCCTGGGGGAATTCTGCACTATAGCATGTGCAGATAATTAATGAGCCATGCATATTTTTAATTTTTGGGGGGGGGGGAAGCTTCAGCTGGAATGTTGCTGCAGTTTTGGGCACTGTGGCAGTAGAACACAGCAGCCCCTCCCAGCCAGCTAGGGAAGAGAAAGAGCCTGCCTTCTTTGCAGTGCCTGTCAGGCCAGGAGACTGGGGGCTATGGGGAGACAGTATAGGGTTTGGGGGGGTTCAGATGGGGGCTCATAAGGGTTAATTGGGGAGGATGGACCAGGGCAGGGGCTGAATGGGAGTGGAGGCACAGGGCCACATGGTGATGGGGGAGGGAGGACAGAGGGTGGCTGAGTGGGGGCACGGACAGGGGGCAGCTGAGTGGGGGCACAGAGCCACATAGGGGGAGGCGGTGCAAGGCCGGATGGGGGAGTGGGTGTCTGAGGGGGGGTGGAGGGGAGGGACACATGAGGGTGCAGGGACAGGGGCAGATGTGCCTGACTGAATGGAAGAAGCTAGGCATCAGCCAGGGTCTGCATGGGGGAAGCTCCCTAACAATCCCTCCCTGCCCCCAAAAAAACCTGGTCCATACTTTTCCCACCCATACCCAACAACCCTCGAAGTTCACACCTAGGCTCCTTCCCAGCAATTTACTTCCGTCTCCCTCAGATCCTCCATTACCCCTGACTCCAATAGCCTTTGCACTGCTTCTGAGGGGTGTGGGAAATATGGTTCAGTAGTGTAGTTTAAATGAATTATTACTCAGTTCTGTATTAATATGCCTAACTTACGAAATATTTGTCAAGAAACATTTCCTGAATCTTTTTTGTTGTCTGTACCGTTGCAGACATACTTGCTGACAGGTATTTTGAAATAAATGACCAAAAATAATTGAAACTGGTATGATTATATTGTGTTATTTTGACAAATAAAATGTGCAGAATTTTGCAGAATTTTAAAATATTGTGCATGACATTTTTAATTTTTTTGGTGCAGAAGTCCCCCAGGAGTATATGCAATACACCAACCATAGCTTAGACCCCCAAAGCCAGAGAGCATGTTGAATAAGTCTCACTAGACCTAAAACAAGATTGCTGAGGCCTTAAGTGTGCAGATGTACTATGCCTCCACAGTGCTATTATATCACCAGGCTCTAGTTAATAGGGAATTGTTTATTTAACAGTCATGTTCTGGTTTCACTTTGTGCTTATATAATTCTTGTTTAAATGCCACATAAGTCCAGCTCTATAGAATTAACTGATGAGCCACTATAGTAGGAAGCTTAGAAGGATAAACTGTCTAGAAGTGATTAAGAAACATCTGCATATTTTAAGTGTATTTCTGTCAAAACAACAGAGGAAAAATTAGACCAGGAACAAAAATAACAAACCGCTTTGCTACCACTGAAGAGACAGATGGTCATGTGCTCAGTTTACCTACAGAATTATTGCTCTAATCTTCCCCTAATGATTCTTCATAAAAGTAGTCTGTGCCAAGAACAGACAAATCAGGCTTTTCAATGACAACTTCATAGCTGTTGATTATGTGATATGTACTCTGTCCCCCAGGAGCAAGTGGTTTCTTTATCTTCTTGTAATGCTCCTGCTTCAATCTAGGGAAAGAAAATTGAAAGCATGAATTATTAATTTGTTTTGAAAGTGAGGAAAAATTAATTTACCTGGTGGCCTTGTTTTCATTTTACCTTTTACCCAAAGCTTGTGCATAAGACCGCTGGTTGATTTCCTCTTTGATATCCAGGTCAGGATGGGTGACTTGGGGAAGTTTGGGGTTATAGCTCACTTCATGCTAAAAACGCACCAAGAGAACACTCAGCATTGCAGGAAGTATTTAAACTACCACTACATTCCTTCATATTACTGCCATGATGGTCCTTCTATCTAATCCTGTCACTTCTGGGGCACCTTTACAAGTCTGAGTAAACCATTTAAAAATTTTTTGGAAGAAAACAGTTGCTTTAAAACTGGGATGAGGGATGAATGAAATGTAGTCAATGTCATACATGTATGTTAATTGTTACATTTATTTGGAAGGTTCTCAGGTTACAATCTTATGTAAGGCCTCAATTTGCATGAACCCTTATTGTGACAATTCTTCAAGCGTGTGCAGATTGTATTAGTAAGAATATGCATTTAGCAGGCTGCATGCACTCTTTACTCAGTATTTGCTTACTATTTAGGATGGAATACTATCAATTTTAGCTTCATGTATGTGGACTGAACTCTTATAAACTACTTTTACCTGCTTATTTCACTTTTTTCTGGCTGATACAGCATTCTGGTTTGAGAAGGAAAATGGAGGCAAGCCTTGATTGCTAGACTACCAGGAGGACTTCTTCCTCTTAATGGATTTTATTTTAAAAGAAACTAATTCCTATAGCCCACTATGCCAGTCTGCCTGATCTTTAGTCTTGTTGAGATTCAAATCACAGCTTGTTCTATCTTATATATGGAAAAAGACTAATGAGGAGCCAGACAGATAATTGGAATGGAAGATTTATGGGGAATTCTTTTCAAGAGAACACTGACTTGAACCACTACACACTGATCGCTATTTAAAAAGAGAAAAGACAGTGAAACTAGAGCAATCCCTATATTGTGAAACGGATACTGAGAACTCAGAAGGAACAAACCCATTTTGTTCCCACACCTTTTTTCCCAATAAGATGGGTACTTGCAAGTAAAGGTACAGGTATGCCAGGGGCCAGATACTTGCATATGTTCAATGCAGGGGCCTGTGCCTAGTCTAATCTTAACTATGCTCACATGTAGTCTTCAGCTGCACTGCAACACAACTGTGTGCAACTGTGCTAGGATTTTCAGGAGAAAAGTCCTAGACACTATGGTTTAAAGGTAAGAAATGAAAACTGGGCTGTAAGTTGTCTATTCACAGATATAAGGCCAAAAAGGACTATCATGGTCATTTAGTCTGACCTGCATAACAAGGTCATAGGACTTCCCTGAATTAATTTCTGTTTGAATCAGAACATATCTTTTTGGAAAACATCCAATCTTGAGTTAAAAGATTCTAGTGCTGGAGAATGTACCACAACCTTTAAGTTGTTTCAGGGGTTGATTAACCTCACTATTAAACATTTATGTCTTATTTCTAGTCTGAATTTGTCTAGCTTTAGCTTCCAGCTATTGGATCTTGTTATACCTTTCTCTGCTAGATGGAAGAGGCCATTATTCAATATCTGTTCCCCATGTAGATACTGAAACTATGGTCAAGTCACTCCTAACCTTTTCTTAAGCTAAACGGATTGAGTTCCTTCAATCTCGTGTAAAGTGTATTTTTCAATCCTTTAATTATTCTCTTGGTTCTTCTCTAAAACTTCTATGATTTATCAACATCCTTCTCAATTGTGGACACAAGAACTGGACACAGTAGTGGTTGCACCAGTGCCAGATACAAAGGTAATATAATCTCTCTCCTCCTACTCTATATTCTCTTTTGGCCGTAGTGTTGCACTGGGATTTCACGTTAAGCTGATTGTCCACCATGGCTCAAGTCTTTTCAGAGTCACTATTTCCTAGGATAGAGTCCCCTGTCCTGTGAGCATGGCACCTGCATTCTTCAGGCCTAGATGTATGACTTTGTTCGGCCCTACTGAAACACGTTTGCTAGTACCCAGCTTACCAAACAATCCAGAAAACACTGAAGCAATGACTAGTTCTTTGTTATTTACCACAACCCAAAACTTCCCCAGTAATGATTTTGTTTTCTTTCAGGTCATTGATTAAAAAACATTGAACAGGGTAGGGCCCAGAACTGATGCCTGTAGGCCCCCACTTGAAATACACCTACTTAATGAATCCCTGTTTACATTTTGAAACCTATAGCTAGACAGTTTCAATCCATTTGCCTTACAAATGCCTTAAATAAATCTATTACATCATTTTCCTACATGTGCACTTTACTAGATAACAGCAAGGCATGCAAAACAGCTAGCCCACATGAAATACACCCCACTTTGCTGTCTATACACAAACCTTAGATAAGGAGTTTTCCAGAGTTACATTACGTGGCTCTGTGTTTATGAGTTGTAAGACAGGTGGCTCTCCTTCTAGCATGGGGTGAATTGGCATGCTTTGTGGGTCTATCAAGATTTCATAGGGAACCCTGGGATGTTTCCAGGAGGCAGGTGTGAAAATTTCCCATGGTTCTGCCTGCCCAAAAGTCCCTAGAAAGAAAATATAAACAAGCAGGCATTGTAAAGTTTCAAAGGGTACACAGCCCCAAGCCTCCTCCTAAAATCAAGGGAAGTCGCAACTAAGACAAAGAGCAACTCTTTAAAAATTTTACTTTTTAAAGTATACAAAGTTCTGCTGCTTGGAAGACCTTTGAAAAGAAATTTTGTCTTGGAAGAGCAGTTGTGGTTTAAAAACTTGTGGATGAAATAAACTAAACAGAAAAGTCTTTAATTGCAAAGTAGTTTGTCAGAAGATTTTATTTCATTAGGGTCTGATCCAAAATATATGTTTGCTTGCGTGGGTGTGTTGGATCAGGCACTTAGGGATAGATTTTTTAAAGTATTTTAATTAAGTGTCTAAATATGCAGCTAGCATGTAATGGAATTTTCAAAGTGCCTATGCACCTAACTCCTATTGATTGCAAGATCCCCCACTAGGAGCCTATCTGCATCTTTAGGCATGTAAATACCTTAAAATCTAAGCTTTAGTGCTTTGAACTGAAAGACAGCCACTTCTAAATATGGTTTGGCCATACTCTGCCTCCTTAGAAAGCTCTGTATTGGAAAGTAGTTTCATCATACACTATTTTAATGCCGCTGCTGGCTTTCACTGGGATTAAAAAATAGAGCACCTATTTCAGGGGTGGGCAAATCTTGCCTCATGAGCCAAACGTAGCCCATGTAGAACTGAAACAGGGCCTGCTTATACAAGAAAACTTATAAGTCCTAACATGAAATACTCCACTGTGAGCTGAGAATCCTCTGGCTAAGATAATTTATTAGCCTATGGATACAGCAGCATGGGAGTTTATGAATGTCCATAGGGGGCTACTTGAGTAGATATTTTTGTTGTATGCCACTCCTTTTTAAAGTTGCCTATCCTAGCCATGCTGTTTTTGTAGATATAAGCCTTACCAATGTACTCTCCATCCAGACTCCACAGACGAACGGTACAATCAATAGAAGAGGAAAGCAGGACTTTTTCTTCATCAACCACCTCTACTCTATCAAAATGAAAGTGATAATCAGAACAAATCTACTTAAGCACCATATATAACTAAAGACTTATGACACCATGTCACTTACATTTTGTCATTAGAAATTTCTTGTGTTACAAATTGTCTACATGGGTCATTTCTGCCAATGCTAAAGTTTAATGTGAATACTGCTACAGTATTAATTGTTTCAAGGGATTACAGCTCAAAGCAATATCTGATATAGTACAGTATGATAGTGCTGAATGACACCGAAGTGAACCATAAATGAGTTTATGTAATTTGAAAAGTATTTACTGCACATGATCATCGTATAATAGTGGAAGATGGGCCAGGGATTCTGACTCATGACTGAGGCTCTTAGGTGTTATCACAATAGACATAAAACCTAATTATATTTATATCAAGCAACACATGTGCAGGTTTGTGTATTTATACATAAAAAAATATTCTGTTAAAGACACATGAGACAGTACTTACGATACAACTATATTTACATGAGCTCTCCAATGATTCACATCTATGGCAATATAGAGAATAAATATGCATTATACATATAATTCAGATTAATACGCAAATATGTTACTACACAAGAACGCTGCACTGTGTCAGGTGTAAACCAACCACTACCTAAGAAGCAAGGACATTAAAAAGTATTCATGGTTTTAAAGCAATTTTTGTTTTTAAATGCAACAAAGTTGTTAAAACTTTACCCTGGATGTATTTTGAAACTGCTCTGTTTTCTTTTACTAGGTAGCTTCCACTAAGATACACAGTTATAAATGTCACCAGATCAGTGGTTCTCAACCCACAAGATGCTTGCAGCCCAATCAGTACACAGCTGGAACCCATGTGACATCCTCAGGGCTGTACAGGTAGTATATATATTGTGTGGATGCAGCCCACATAACAGATAGAGAGCTAAGCATATGTGGCCCGTAATAGTAAATAGGTTGAGAACCATTGCACCAGATGAAATCCTGAAGTCCTCATCCAGGTTTTACTCAGTCCTTCCTACCCACTGAATATTGAGATTTGCCTGCATTTGGTCCACAGTGTATTAATTTTGTTAAGGAAGTTATATGGGAACTATGGTCACCATACTCAGCTATGCTAAGAACAAGCTAAGGCATAAACATTTTGGAGCATACATGATCTGGAAAAAGGGGATTAAAATATTACAATGAAACAGAAGTAGAAGTAGACACAGATCATGAGAAGGACTTTGTTTTTTAAACCCTTTTCCCCCAGATCTCATATGTTCCAAAATATGTTTTATACTTACATATAAAAATACAAATACAAAAATATTTAATATAAAAAAACCCAATCCACAAGACACACATTTTGGTGGTTCTCGCTCTGGGTCCTGAAGGGCATAGTCCTTGATGCTGTAGACATACACATATCCAACATCGTCAGCTGCATAAATAAAGGAATCGTCCGCAGTGACAGCAATACTGCTGATGTGGGATTTCACTCTAGACTGAGACAGACATTAATGTAGGCTGTGTTGTTAGCTAATAATTCATGCAGCATGATAATACTATATTGATTATAATGGAAATAAACTACAACATATGAATGCTCATAATAAATCTAAACGAGCAGATGTGTACTTACCATAATTAAACAAAGCAAAGCAATAATGTTTCCCCTCCTCCCCCATACAGAGTGTATCTTTGAACTGTAAGAAGCGTGCTTCACTCAGTCCTACACAGCTTAGCCCTCTGGAATTCATCGCTCAAACTTACAGGTATGAAGCTTGCTGTAAGGGGGATTCCACTGAACAGACTCCAGAAGTTGACAGAACCTGGAAAAAAGCAAACAGTGAAAATGTTTATTAATAGCAATGAAACAGAAGTCTACTTTGACAGGAATACAAAAATGTAGGAATTTGACTGCTGGATGCAGAGGTTCACAAACTTGGGTCCATGAACCACTGTTGGTCCCTGGACTGTGGGGCTGCAAGGGTGTAACAGGCTGCGCGGGACACCCAGAGTCTCTGTTTACAACTTTCTGCCTCAGCAAGAGTAAGCTTTGCTAGAAATTAGGCTGTTAGCTCCCTGCCACACCAGTCAATCTCCCTCACCAGCAAACTCCTCAAGAATCTCCCAGTCCAAATCTCACCTAGTAGGAAATAATCAGTGCACTCCAACTACACCCCCGAGTGATGTAAGTTACATCAACTTAAAGCGGTGTCCACACCATGCTATGTTGGCGGGAGACGCTCTCCAGTCGGCATAGTGCGTCTTCACCAGACATGCTACAGCAGCGCAGCTGCATTGGTGCAGCTGTGCGAATGTAGCACAGTAGTGTAGACTTGCCCTCAGTCTTCTGATCTTGCACTTAGTTCACTGAGAGTCCATCTGGCAGAGATTTCAGCATTTCATCCACCTGTGGGAAGTCAGTGTTTTTGAACTCCATGGCAGTGAGGTTCTTGAAAGAAGTCACTCATCTCCACCTGATGGTTAAAGAGTTGGTTCCTTTGCAGATCTTAATACTGTTTTAGCATGTCTTACGGGACCTCTGTTCAAGCCTCTGACAATTTCTTCTTTCCCCCTTCCATGTCAGAAAACTGCCTTCCTTGTAGCAAGGAGAGTATGAGAGTTGCAGGCATTGATGGCAGATCCTCCTTACATGCAGTTTTCCAAAGACAAAATAACTGTGCAGCCACACCCTAATTTTTTATCTGAGGTGATTTCCCACTTTCACTTGAACCCAGTTATATATCTATCAGTGTTTTTCCCTATGCCACATTCAACCCCAGAGGAGCAGCATCTTCACACTTTGGATGTCAGGAGATATTTAGCTTTTTAGCTGGATAGAATTGAATCTTTCCGTTCCTCACCTGATCTCTTTGTTCACAGGCAACCCAAATGAAGGACCAAGCAGTGTCTTCACACACAATGTCCAGGTAGATAATTTCCTGTATCATGATAGCATTTAAAGTAGCCCAGGCTACACCTCCTCTACAGATATGAGCTCATTCTAAGAGAGTTCAGGCAACATCCACATTTCTAAATGATATTTGTAGGGTGGCCACTTGGTCCTCTGTGCATAACTTTTGCAAACCACTATGCCATTATGGTGGCATCCAGATCAGCTGCAAACTTTGAGAAGGCAATCCTGCAGTCTTTTAAATAGACTACGAGCCCACCTCCTGCGAGTACTGCTTGCGAGTCACCCACAGGGAATACAAGGCTCCATCTACTCAAAGAAGAAAAAAGTTACCTACCTGTCATTATTGTTCTTCAAAATGTCATGCAGATGTAAGCAGAATCAGGATGAGCTCTACCCTGACATCTGGTGGTGAATTGTGGCGAGTTGTGGAAAAGAACTTCAGGGGCTTATCTTGTTTGCATAGGCACACCCACCCCGCCTAGCATGAGCCCACAGCAGCCCAAATGGTCACTTTGGCTGCTGTGGGATCCCCAGTTTCTCTGTTATTGGGGCAGGAAGAATAAAGTGTTGTTACCCTGATTATGTGAATCAAGGACAGTGGAACGGTTTTATGACAGAGGGACTCGCCATCAACTAAGTCGCACTCGCTAGACAAGGGACATGGGTTCCAAAACCCAGTGAATTGAGAGAGGGCAGGGCAGGGCAGCTGATGGTATGGGCCCCCTTTGTGGGCTGGAAACACCAATTGTACCACCTCCTCTCTTCACTGTGGAATATCAGAGCTAGTTTTGATTCCATTAGGAGTCTAGTTACAGACTGCTGAGCTGAATTCACTTTGGGCCAATAGTGCACCAGTACTGGGGCTCCCCTACTACAAGCTGAAATCACTAAAGAGCTAAAATTGCTGGGGGGGCCCTGAAGCTAAATTGCTGAGCGGCTGGCGGAGCAGAGCATGTTTGTAGGGTGGCTGGTGGAGTAGAGCAGTTTGCAGGATGGCTGGAGTGGCTCGTGGGATGGCTGGTACAGCGGAGCAGCTTGTGACGAACTTTAAACTAGGTTCACCGGGGGAAGGAGACCAAAGCCCTGAGGTAAGTGGAGAAATGGGATACTGGGAGGAAGCACAAGCAGGAGAGTGCAAGAGGGGAGGACTCCTGTCTCAGACTGAGAAAGCGGGACAATCAGCGAGTTATCAAAAGTGCCTATACACAAATGCAAGAAGCCTGGGAAACAAGCAGGGAGAACTGGAAGTCCTGACACAGTCAAGGAACTATGATGTCATTGGAATAACAGAGATTTGGTGGGATAACTCATATGACTGGAGTACTGTCATGGATGGATATAAACTGTTCAGGAAGGACAGGCAGGGCAGAAAAGGTGGGGGAGTTGCATTGTATGTAAGAGAGGAGTATGACTGCTCAGAGCTCCGGTATGAAACTGCAGAAAAACCTGAGTCTCTCTGGATTAAGTTTAGACGTGTGAGCAACAAGGGTGATGTTGTGGTGGGAGTCTGCTATAGACCACCAGACCAGGGGGATGAGGTGGACGAGGCTTTCTTCCGGCAACTAGCAGAAGTTACTAGATCGCAGGCCCTGGTTCTCATGGGAAACTTTAATCACCCTGATATCTGCTGGGAGAGCAATACAGCGGTGCACAGACAATCCAGGAAGTTTTTGGAAAGTGTAGGGGACAATTTCCTGGTGCAAGTGCTGGAGGAACCAACTAGGGGCAGAGCTCTTCTAGACCTGCTGCTCACAAACAGGGAAGAATTAGTAGGGGAAGCAAAAGTGGATGGAAACGTGGGAGGCAGTGACCATGAGATGGTCGAGTTCAGGATCCTGATACAAGGAAGAAAGGAGAGCAGCAGAATACGGACCCTGGACTTCAGAAAAACAGACTTTGACTCCCTCAGGGAACTGATGGGCAGGATCCCCTGGGAGAATAACATGAGGGGCAAAGGAGTCCACGAGAGCTGGCTGTATTTTAAAGAATCCTTATTGAGGTTGCAGGAAAAAAACATCCCAATGTGTGGAAAAAACAGTAAATATGGCAGGCGACCAGCTTGGCTTAACAGTGAAATCCTTGCTGACCTTAAACGCAAAAAAGAAGCTTACAAGAAGTGGAAGATTGGACAAATGACCAGGGAGGAGTATAAAAATATTGTTCAGGCATGCAGGAGTGAAATCAGGAAGGCCAAATCACACTTGGAGTTGCAGCTAGCAAGAGATGTTAAGAGTAACAAGAAGGGTTTCTTCAGGTATGTTAGCAACAAGAAGAAAGTCAAGGAAAGTGTGGGCCCCTTACTGAATGAGGGAGGCAACCTAGTAACAGAGGATGTGGAAAAAGCTAATGTACTCAATGCTTTTTTTGCCTCTGTCTTCACGAACAAAGTCAGCTCCCAGACTGCTGCACTGGGCAGCACAGTATGGGGAGAAGGTGACCAGCCCTCTGTGGAGAAAGAAGTGGTTCGGGACTATTTAGAAAAACTGGACGAGCACAAGTCCATGGGGCCAGATGCTGCATCCGAGGGTGCTAAAGGAGTTGGCGGATGTGATTGCAGAGCCATTGGCCATTATCTTTGAAAACTCATGGTGATCGGGGGAGGTCCCGGATGACTGGAAAAAGGCTAATGTAGTGCCCATCTTTAAAAAAGGGAAGAAGGAGGATCCGGGGAACTACAGGCCAGTCAGCCTCATCTCAGTCCCTGGAAAAATCATGGAGCAGGTCCTCAAGGAATCAATTATGAAACACTTAGAGGAAAGGAAAGTGATCAGGAACAGTCAGCATGGATTCACCAAGGGCAAGTCATGCCTGACTAACCTAATTGCCTTCTATGAGGAGATAACTGGGTCTGTGGATGAGGGAAAAGCAGTGGATGTGTTATTCCTTGACTTTAGCAAAGCTTTTGATACAGTCTCCCACAGTATTCTTGCCAGCAAGTTAAAGAAGTATGGGCTGGATGAATGGACTATAAGGTGGCTAGAAAGCTGGCTAGATCGTCGGGCTCAACGGGTAGTGATCAACGGCTCCATGTCTAGTTGGCAGCCGGTTTCAAGTGGAGTGCCCCAGGGGTCGGTCCTGGGGCCGGTTTTGTTCAATATCTTCATTAATGATCTGGAGGATGGCGTGGACTGCACTCTCAGCAAGTTTGCAGATGACACTAAACTGGGAGGAGTGGTAGATACGCTGGAGGGTAGGGACAGGATACAGAGGGACCTAGACAAATTAGAGGATTGGGCCAAAAGAAACCTGATGAGGTTCAACAAGGACACGTGCAGAGTCCTGCACTTAGGACGGAAGAATCCCATGCACTGTTACAGACTAGGGACCGAATGGCTAGGAAGCAGTTCTGCAGAAAAGGACCTAGGGGTTACAGTGGACGAGAAGCTGGATATGAGTCAACAGTGTGCCCTTGTTGCCAAGAAGGCTAACGGCATTCTGGGCTGTATAAGTAGGGGCATTGCCAGCAGATCGAGGGATGTGATCATTCCCCTCTATTCGACATCGGTGAGGCCTCATCTGGAGTACTGTGTCCAGTTTTGGGCCCCACACTACAAGAAGGATGTGGAAAAATTGGAAAGAGTCCAGCGGAGGGCAACAAAAATGATTAGGGGGCTGGAGCATGTGACTTATGAGGAGAGGCTGAGGGAACTGGGATTGTTTAGTCTGAAGAAGAGAAGAATGAGGGGGGATTTGATAGCTGCTTTCAACTACCTGAAAGGGGGTTCCAAAGAGGATGGGTCTAGACTGTTCTCAGTGGTACCTGATGACAGAACAAGGAGTAATGGTCTCAAGTTGCAGTTGGGGAGGTTTAGGTTGGATATTAGGAAAAACTTTTTCACTAGGAGGGTGGTGAAGCACTGGAATGGGTTACCTAGGGAGGTGGTGGAATCTCCTTCCTTAGAGGTTTTT